ATTCCTCACCGACTCGGCCGTATCTAGAGCCACAGCTAATTCCTGATCGCCCCTCTTGTGTTGTGGCGTGGAATGACATAGCGCAGACCACAGTGGCGGCCGGCCCATAGGGGGCGCTGGGGCACCGCCCTCCCTGATAAGAAGAGAGAAACGTAAAATATATTTTTAGAAATTAACTCATAAATGTCTGTTTTACTCTCTAGACTGTGTAACTATAAGCAAAACAAATTATATAAACTACATTTCCCTATCTACTGTCATTAATTTGTGGATTTCCACAGACAGACTCCTACCGTCTCTGTTCTGGGGGCTGTGATCAGACTGACCCACATTTGCAGAGAATCTGTCAATCATGTACTATTGCTAGGTGAATTTAATGGCCAATCAGCGTCTCGGAACTTTATGGTATTGGGGCGCTGAAAATACTGCGCTTTTACAGGCTTCTCTTCTGAACCCAAGCGCAGGTGCAGACAATTAGAGGGAAGATGGCGAATGTAACGAGCGAGATGCAGCTTCCACCAAATTCGGTGAGATCCTTATTTATCTCCCCGTTTGCCAGAAGAACATCCCTGTTGTATGATATGAACATTTCATTTCATGGTTATTGTGACTGTGACGAATCCACCTCGTCGCTTAAAACAACCTCTCTAACTTTGCGCGCCACACACACATTCCTGTTATACTGTGTTTGTGAGGACCAATACACTCGCGCTGAGACCAGTAGCTCCATGAACTTAAAACACACAAGCTGTTCCTGGTTACCTGCTGGCGTATTGAGGGGGCACACTTAATATTTCAGTGGGGTTAGCCGTGTGTGTGTGTGTGTGTGTGTGTGTGTGTGCGTGGGTATGTGGGGGGTGTGGGTGTGTACGTGTTTATGCGGGGACTTGTCATCTTCAGTCTGGCTGCGTCTTTGCTGGGTTCAAACCCAGTTTGGTGTAATTGAATAAGTCAATGAATCTGTGTAAAAGAATTAAGTTGTAAAAATTATTTGTTTTTGTACATCAATTGTTTGTGGAGGTAATATATGGACAAAACTGATTAATGAGAAGAAATCAGAAATAAGAGAGCCTGAGGTGAGGGGCTTAAACTATTTAATGAGGGCTGTGGGAAGAAAAGCGGCAATTTTTGTTTTCTGTTTCTTTGTTACATTGCTGGTAACTGGAGGGAGGCTGAGGCCCAGAGTATCTTGTATATGTTTAGTTTCTTTTGCACCCTGTTTTGAGTTTTTGAGCTCAATAAATCACCAACACCGGTAACCCGACTGAGACTGGATTCTTGGAGGCCAAAGAACCCCGTCACAGTGACCCAAATCATCACTGTTACTGTTATTATATAGTAAATTAAATCATTACTGTTAAATTGTATGTATTGTCCAATTGTTTATTTGAATTCTTATTCCGGGTTAGTTGGAGACATACACTAGGCTATATCAGCCCCACCAAAAATATTTTTCACCAGCCGCCACTGGCAGACCATGCTTCAATATTGGGCATAAATCAAAAATATCTGCAACAAGCTCACAGCGAGACACTGCTGCAGGAAGTATAACCAGCCCTTTAGACATAAGATGTGTAATATTATGTTTATTGTCGTTTCAAGTTACCATGGGAGTGTAAGCCACCAAAAACCTATCCACCATCGTTTCAAAACTGAAGCTGATGCATTCACAATTACTTCAGTTACTGCAAATTCATTAATCAAACTAGCCTTGCCAGTCATATTCTTCTTGGAAGGGAGCCCAATTTCAAAGACAATACCAAAATAATCCAATAATAAAAGAAATTCTCTTTCAAGCAACCTATGATTAAAATTTTCAACAACTTTTACTTTTGTATTAGACAGTAGCTTCAACTGGTCTGGGTTTTGTTTCACTGTGACCTCATATTGAAAAGAAATATCACATGGGCTGCTGCCATCAACACATCTAATTGTAGATTAGAGAGTTAAGCCTGTTTTTCACAGTATAGTCTTGTTTCTCTCCTTGACATAGCTATGAGATAAGCTTTTACTGAGGCTAACTGTATGGGCTCCATTCATGTTTTTTGACATGAAAGCCTCCCCACAGAGTATCTGCTTGATTGTTTCTGCTAGACAAAGACACCTATGGAGCTAATTTGCTGTTACCTTTTTTTTTATCATACAAAGCATTTATGGATTGATGCTTCTGTGTTCCTTTTGTATGTCTGCTTCTGTCTCCTTAAACACACAGTCAGCCTTGGGAGAAGCCTTGGGAGAAGAACACTAACACCGAGAGTTCTTCTCGACCTTTTTGTTAAAAGGGAGTTTTTCCTTGCAACTGTTCCTGCATATCTGCTTGGTGTTAGGGAATGCTGTGGAGTCAACAACAGAATGCAATGCAAAATTTAGAATGTGCTTAATTCAACAAGTGAGAAAGCGTGCGAAAGATAGGAAACAAAGTGTGAGCATCATAATATCTTGTTGGTAGCCATGACGCCTCAAGGTATTCACTACTGGGGATGTATCAGAATAAAGTGGGATTTGAAAGTAATACCTGATAGTACCTATTCAATTATTAAGCTATGAATGGGCAAACAATTCAATTTAATAATTGGAAATTGGTTTCATATCAGTGATGGGTCTTACCCTATTCTATCCTTAAAACACTTCAGACTGTCAAAATAAGACACATGGTACTCTACAAAATAAAAGTCTTTATATTGGATACACCCCATAATTGCAGCATTGGATTAAGCATTATTGCTGAAAAAAAAATCTGGTTTTAGACAATTGACCAAAATATCCTTTTAACAACACAACCCACAAAAAAAGGGATAAAATGTGATTCAGGAATTGCGAATATGTCAAAATTACGGATGGGTTTAATTCTATTTTTCAAACATAACCATGACAGACTTCCAAAATATCACCTACAATACAAAATGTACAAAACTGTACTGTACAAAATACAGTTATTTGTGTTTGATCCAGCAGATCACTGCAGCATGGAGCTCAACAGGAATTTCACAAGTTTTGAAAAGTAGTGCTCTGGCCTTTAGAACTACATACCAAAGGAAATGTTCAAATAAAAGCATACATTTTTAAGCAGTTACTATTATTGTACTCTCAATAAACCACAGTGTGTGATTTAGGCATTGGAAACAGATAAAAAATTGAACACAATTCCATCTAGCCTTTAAAATAATTAAATTCAATCGTACTTTATTTATCTTAAATTCAAATTCTGTTTAGGTAAAGCCCTAAATTCACTGTAAAGTTTTGGTAAAGATGATACGTCCTGCAAAGTAAAAGCTTTTAAGATTACATTTGACAAATTACTGTAACATTTGTGTCAATATTCTGTCTGGAACTACACAAGTGTGGAACAAGGGCTACAATGGCCTTTTAGAAATACTACTCATCTCAAAATAACAGCATCACCCTTTCATGTATTTGTACATTATTAAAATGTATGTTTGGTTGGTTTGAAACCATTTTAATTAGACTGATGTGCTTATTACATAAATATCAAGCTTCAGGAAACCTTTAACCATTAGTACATGATGAACCCTAAATCCTAACTGAAGTTCAGAAGAAAACCTTGGCCATACTGTCGTCTATAATTCTCTTCTTGATGACTTAAAATTGAAGCTAAGTTTTATAAAAATTCTAAGTTCTTAAAAAGCAGAAAAAGACTCAAACGAAGATCAAAAAATTCAGGCAGGGGCAGCTGAGTCCGGGTCCAGTGTGTTTATTGCTAAACACAACACATTTACACTGAGCTGGTCACCGGTGAGCCGAAGCTGAACAAATGGTGCACACAGCTCTCTTTTATACATTTCTTATCGGTGGAAAAACCCCCTTCAGAACATATTTCAGTCATTGGTAAAGGTCACATTGATATTTATCTGCAAAACATGGTGACATTCATAGACACATCTCATTCTTGTGAGAGCAATCTCTCAGGCCATGAAAACATCTGGTGCATTCAGATCAGAAACTTATGACGGTTTAGTCAAAAACATGTCAGCCCTTGCTTCAAGCCCTGTCAGTCTAGCCTACTGCTCCCCCCTCGTCTCTCAGTCAAAGCATCACCCTTTCTGGGACCATTACTGCTCCGTGTGCCTTGAAAATAACAACTCTTTTTGTATGGCCAAATTTTGCTGAGCTGGGCAACCTTGAGATGTCAAATATTTCATTTTTATTGCGGGTGCTTTCTTATCACTAAGGGGCCTCAACCCTGCGTTGTCCTGCAAATCTCACTCCCATTGGCGCCAGCTGCAACAGATACACACACTCACTACTCTGCTTTTCTCCTCTCTGGCCTCGAATTGCTCTTATAACAGTTTTTGGGAAAACAACTTTAAACTTATAAAACATTAACTTTATTTTATCTTATGATTAGAGCAGATTAATACACAACATTCCCCCCTTTGATCCTAAAAGGATCAATTACGTGATTTTGCAGGTGATAACTAATCTAAAACACCTTAAATGTGAACTCACCCAAGTGACAAAAGTTTATATATATATATTGTGCACACTAAACTAAACGTGAGATTATACACACACCATATAGTAGAAGTGAGTAATATAAGATGTGGTGGTGTCTGAGTAAATATTAAACTAATAAAATGCAGAAAACAGAATATACAAAAACAAAGAGGGATCCCCCTCTTGGCTCCCTTAAGAGGACCCGTCCTCGTTGCTTACTTTTTTTGTAGCAAGATTTTCTAATTCTGTTTTCTCAGCAGAGGCAAATACCAATGCCCAAGCAGCATCTTGTGTTACGAGGTCACTGCATTTATCCCCTACATTGGTGGTATTTCACACCCATACATACACAAACACAAACAAAAGCTTCATCAGGCCCGGACTATGCCAGGCAAACACATCTTCTAGTGGTCAAAGGACCGTCATTACAACCAACATAGGAGTAACCATGTGGCACTCTCCTGCACAGTAATTGTACTGTCACATAAAGTATACAATATGTTTAACAAAGGTATGCATAATCATCAATAATCAGCATTGTCCTTATATCCAGTTATGGCGTTGAAGTTGATATATTAATAATAATAATAGCCTCCATAATTCTGTCCATAATTCTGCCCTCCGTTCGGGCCCCCCTGGGTATAGGGAGCCATATGCTGCAGATCAGCGGTCAGCTGCATCACCTGCTCTTGTAGGTCGATAATGGTCTGCTGTGCATCTCGAAGTTGCTGCCTCAGTTCCAGATTGTCTCGGGTCAGCTGCCGATTCCCAGCCTTTACTTTGCGTTTGTACATGGTGCGGCGCATCCGTTCAAAGGACCGACGTGGCTCGGGGTGCGCCAGACCCTTCATGAATTGGGCATAAACTGCTGTGGTCATAGAGGTGATTTCAGGCTTAAGGTCAGCGTTGGTATCATAGGACTCCAGCGGATGAGCCAAGAACTTTGCAACATGATGAGCTTCGGCAAGATCAAGCTTTATGTCATCTGCTATGACCATGAACATAGCCAGTACGCCTGGAATGGGTGGTGGCGGATAATTATATTGGTGGGGTGACGGTGGTCGTCGATCCTCGGAATTCTCAGGACTGGCAGGGGTGCTGGTTGGGCCGAAATCGATACTGAGGTTCCCCGGTGATGACGAGATGGACAGTGGCTTCCCAGTAGGTAATGGTGGTTGATCATCAGGCTGCCTGCTGGGTGTCATCATCGGTTGATCCTCAGGCTGCCTGCTGGGTGTCATCATAGGTTTGCTCCAACCCGAAGGTGCACTGCTTGGCCCCTCTGCAGGATCTAGTAGGTGCCTGGGAGGAAGATATGGGCATCCTACCCCTAGTGATGGGCCTAACGACGCCAGTGCAGCTCGTAAATTCATTTGGTTTTCTTCATATTCATCATAACTAGCCTCTGCCATGTTCAATAATCTACCTGTGGGGACATAGTATGGCAAATTTAGGCATCATCTGAAGGCATATTATCTCTTATATCTATGGATTATTCAGCATGCAAGTTGCTATATCTACGTGAGTAAGTATATAAGTCATTGTTATGCAAAATATTTATATATATACACTGTTGTTATTAAAGAAATGCACGTACCTGGTGAGGGTGGAAGGTGATCATGGTTATGTTTTATATCTCTTGGTCCAATTGTATCTCTACAACTGGGAACTGACCAGTTACACTTACAACAAGTCTTGAGACCAGTCCCCGAACAAGGGGTATGATGCAACACACAACTATCAATATAATCAGTATTACTGCCCCTAGAATCATTCCTGCTGCCTCAAGATATTTTCCCCTTCCAAGCTTGTGAAACCAATCCCAGAATCCCTTCAGCTGAGTGTTCCAATTAGACTGCAGCACATGTTCATCCCTCATTCGTTTCATTTCCTGTAGGACTCCTGTGAGGCTACCATTTACATCTGTGTGCATGGGGATTAAAGTACAACAATCTTCCCCTATATAATCACATATTCCTTGGTCTCCAGCCATGCGGGATTCTAGCACGAACCTATGTTGTAGAACCATTAGTGAAGTTGCATGCAATTGTTCCTTTACCAAATCCAGGCCGTTTATTGTAAAGTTTATAAATCTTTGTTGATTATACCATAGGAGATTCACCCATCTACTATTTCGAGCTATGTACTGCGCATTGGCAATAGTTCCCCAAATTGGCACCGCACCAGCCACTCTTCCGCTTTCTATCCAATCACTCCCTATGGCAACCTGGTCTTTAGGTACTCCATATGGGATCTGATCCCAAGAAATATATACCTCATCTGATTTCTTCCACTCATGTTTAGGGGGAGTACTTCTTTTAGCGCGGTTGGGTATCTCATTAGATGTTACATTTGTACTTATTAGGTTATTTACTATTAACTTGAGTTGTCCTGTCAGCATTACTGGTGCACAGATGCCTTCCCACTGAGGGGGTAATGTGGCCAACATTTGTGTCTCATTATGGCACATCCAAAAAATGTCACCTAAGGGGACAGATCCCCTCGCCAGGCTCAGTATTCGATACTGAGATACACTTGAAGGTTGGAACTCATAGATGACATGTCCCCCATCTGGTACTACTTGTTCACAGCGTATGGTGGCATTGGGACTCGTTTGACAAAACTTAATGTGGTAGGTGAGGTTCCCTTCTGCTGTTGGTGGGTACCATGTCCTATTACTACATGTAACCAGTCTATCCGTTGTCCACATCTGTCTAGAGGATCTATTAGTCACTGTTTCCAGTTCTTTCCCTCGGGCTATACAAAACGGAAAAATCAGTTCAGCCGGTTTTTGTACTACTGGTGGAAGAGAGAAAGTGCTCATTACATCATTTATTGAGAAGTTCAGCGCTCTGGGGCATATCGTGTGGTCTTTTGATAATGATGCAAGACCTCCGGCCATCTGCATGGCACAGTGGGCAAAGCACTCCGTTACATCTGGGCAGTCGCCTATTTTACTTCCGGGAATAATCTGAAGGGCTGGTAATTTTTTAGCATTATAGCAGGCTATACAATCATCTTTAGGGCGCTTTTTGGCTTTGAACATTGCCTGGACAGAGTACTGAATCCATTGTTGGAACATATTGGTCTCCCAGTGTGCAGTCTTTAATTTGTCTAGATCTCTTTTCTGCCTTTTGTTTACCAATTTTACCATTCTATGCGCTTTCCCTACCGTCATTACCTGCTCTGTTAATGTGTTTTGGCATATGTTCATTTTGCATCTTACCTCAATGATCACCATCCCATCCTCACGGCAGTCCATGCTTTGTGGAACTCCAAGCCAATGTTTCCCCATTGAGTTACCTAAAATTTCTTCAGACATTACATAATCATATCCTTTGATTTGCACATGCATTAGTGATAAATTTTCTCCATCATTATTATTGATTACCCCTTGGTTAGTAGCTAGTGTTACCATTGCTAGTGCACATGTTTGTGTGTGACGCATTAAATGTGTGTGTGCACTGTTAGTATTAATTTTCATAAGATCCCCCCTTGTTAACCCACAAAGGGTTAACACAACAAGAAAGTTAATCAAAGTCTGAAGAAGGCGCATACGGGAGACGCCCAGACGGCGATGGGGTGGGCGGGACCGAGTGGATCGGCGGCCCACTTGCTTCGGAGGAGGAAGGGGAAAGGGAGGGGATGAGAGGGGAAGGTGCAGGTGAGGGATGTTAAGGGGACAGGACTCCACCAGCATCTGATGGGCCAGAAGAAAGAAGTTCGTCCAGTGCCTGAACGACGGATGGATCTGGGTGAGACCCAGAAGAAGTCTCAGTGGCAGAAGGATCATCATCATTGCCACCAGAATCAGAAGGTGGATGGGAAACATAAGAATGAACACTGTCATCCTCAGAGTCCCCTGACCCTGGCGATTGGCGAGCTGCCAAGCGGGCCGAACGTCTTTGGACGCCTGACGTTGAGGGGAGTGGGGATGCATCAGTGCCCGACACCGGTGCAACATCTAAAGTTTGTGAGCTAGTAGAGGGGTGCTGCGGAGGGAGACTTGTTGCTGCCCTGTCAGCATGCGCAGAGCCCGTCGGTCCTGGATCGAGTCCAGGTGGGTCTGGAGGCCGATGCCTGGTGCAGTGGTTTTTGTGAAACCAGAAGGGCTTACCTTCAACTTTCAGGGCAGTGGGAGTGGTAAGCACAACTTTAAAGGGGCCTTCCCTACGAGGCTCGTTCCACTGACGTCTAAAGACTCGTATGAACACACTGTCACCCACTTGAACGTCCCTGACGTCCACTGGAATGTGTGTCTCGTCTCGGCTGTGAGCTGCTTTCACCTGTTGAAATATAAGCCTGTGAATGCGGGTTAAGGACCTGAGGTAGTCCCCCATTTCACGCTCAAGCTGTGCTAGGGAAATCTCTGCCAGCTGGGGTCCTCGAACCTGTGGGAGAGGCATTGGTCGACCTGTAAGCATTTCATGAGGAGTAAGATGGGTTATGCGGTTAGTTTGAGAACGCATTGCCATTAATGCAACAGGCAAGGCGTCCACCCAAGTCAAACGGTTGTTGCTGTCAGCTATTATCTTAGCAATCTTCGATTTCAGGATCCCGTTAGCTCGTTCCACGGATCCCTGTGACTGGGGATGATACACACAACCAAACTTTTGTTTTATGCACAACAGTTTAAACATTTGCTGGATCACCTGTGAAACAAAATGTGGTCCGTTATCAGATGATATTGTGTCAGGCATGCCAAATCTGGGAAAAACTTCTTTACACAAAAACCGTGCTGCTGCTTTGTGGTCATTATGAGCAGTGGGACATGCTTCTACCCATCTGCTAAACCTACAAACAACCACCAACATGTACCTCTTTCCCTGAACCCGAGTTATCATGTCTACGTAATCCATCATCAGATGGCGGAACGGACCGTCTGGCATAGGGATATGTGCTAAGGGTTGAGTAAACATTTTACGCACATTGTACTTAGGGCAATGTGGACATAAGGCCAGTTCTCTGTCTACCATAGGTGTCATATAAGGTGACCACCAAACTGCCTGTAACTTTTGAACAACTTGGGCTCGTGAACAATGATCAGGTCCATGCATTATTTTAATGGCTGTCGGTAATAAGGACAAAGGTAGTACAAAATGTCCTCGAGAACTACGCCACAATCCATCGTGGGGGTGTGTTAACCGAGCCGCCCCCCTTTGTACCCACAGGCGTTTTTCTGCTTCAGATACGTTATTTTGGGCTTCTATTAAGGAGGCCAAATTAGTAATGGGTTCACACTCAGCTACATGAACCATTGGTCCCTGCACTGCTGAACCTGTGGCTTCTTTAGCTGCCTCATCTGCTAAGTTATTTCCAATGGCAATAGGTGTTTTTGCTGTTTGATGAGCAGCACATTTTACAATAGCTAACGCAGATGGAAGTTGCATAGCTTTTATTAACTCTACTACTGCTTGCCCATGTGTCACTGGGGTGCCATCTGTTCTAACAAACCCTCGTTGTTTCCAGATGCTAGCGTTTATATGGCATACCCCGTACCCATAAGCACTGTCAGTATAGATTGTCACTCTTTTACCAGTAGCCAATTTACATGCAGCTGTTAATGCTTTTATCTCTGCCAATTGGGCAGAGCAAGGTTGATCTAGACTCATTGATTGTACCTTGGTAAAGGTCCCATCGGGGTTAAGTTGGACTATTCCATATCCAGCTCTATTCCCTGTGTCACCTCTGACGCATGATCCGTCTACGAACAGCGTCAGATCAGATGGGATTGGATGATTGTATAAGTCCTCCCTTACCTTCATGAAGGTGTCCGTCTCCTGGAGACAATCATGGGGCTCACCTTCTGTGGGCAATACCATTCTTGTGGCTGGGTTAATGGTGGTACAACGTTGTATTGTTAAATCAGGTCCTGAAAGCAGAACTTCATAACCTGTTCGACGAGCTTGGGTTATCACAAAGCGTGGGCTGGTGAGCAGTGCATGTAATTGATGTGATGTGTACAGAATAACAGGGTGGCCCATAGTAATAACTGAGGCCTTTTTGTAGGCGAAGGCTGCTGCTGCCAAACCCTGGTAGCAGGGAGGCAGACCTTCTTCGACACCATCTAATTTTGTGCTGTAATAAGAAATTGGCTGTTTACCTGTTGGGGTGTCTTGCATCAATACTGCACATGCATACCCTTGTCGCTCAGCCACATAGAGATGGAATGGTTTGCCATAATCTGGATTGGCCAGAGCAGGAGCAGTTTGGAGATCTTGTTTCAGCAGCTGGAACGCACCCTCTGCCTCATCTGTCCATTGTAATTGAGCCGACTGGTGTCCTTGACCTGCGGCTTTAATCATTGCTCTCAGTGGAGCCGTTTTGATGGCATAATCACACACCCACGGTCTGCTGTAACCTGCCATGCCAAGGAAAGACAACATGTGACCAACAGTCTGAGGTTTGGGCATTTGGGTTATGGCTTCCA